TGCCCAACACACAGTAGGCACTTGAGGTTAAAAAAAAAAAAAAAAATGAAGGATGCTCCTTACAGCAACAACAAGACAGAGCACCCCATCTCAAGTGTCGCAATTTGGATTCTGTCAGCCTCTGAAACAATTGGGAAGGATCTGGGGGCTCCCTGGCTGCCAAGCAGGGTCCATTTAATTAGTAAGCCATATAAGTATCATTTCCTACATGTGCTGTGAGGTTAAAAAAAAAAAGGTAGAGAATATTGAATAACTTTGTTCAAAATTTAGAAACATCTTTCCCTGATACCTTTACTTCAATTTCTTTTCAACCACTTACCCATGATCTTACTTCTGGATATATGTTCGAGAACCCATGTAGGCACCCGCTTTGTCTGATCATAAGACAAGGCATGATTAGTATAACACCTAGTCTCTGTTCCAGTTAAAGGAAATCCAAATTGTTCCAATACAGCCTTTTCTGCAGATTCTAAAAATTATAAAAGAGAGAGAGAGAGAGGACAAAAACAGCAAATAATTAGTGACTCTAATTAAGAACAAAAGATTATAAGAACAGGTGTGACATTTACAAAGAATTAGCTCAGAATTCTACTCAACCATCCTTTGTTCACCATATGTCTAGTAACTGACATTCAAGAAGTATGGATGGAAGAGGTACTTAGTATCTCTTCTACCCAGTCATCATTTAGGGCAAATAGTTGCAATCAGTTTGTTTCTGCTTTATTTGCAATGTCCTTTGTAGTATATTCTGTCAATGGCAACAGAAAACCCCTATTAAAAGTTATGTATAATATTTTTAAAATATATTTTAAAATAAATGTTTCAGGTGATCAGCCAAATGGTAACATGAGTTATTACATTCTGTAGGTCCTATTTTCACTCCATGTCATTACTGGTAATGAATCATTCCCGTGATTGAAGGGGAAAGAGCCTGCCTCTTTATTTTTAAGACTGAGCGTGGAGTTTAAGAGTGAAAGTGGATTAAGTGTGGAGACAAAATCACAGTCTTAGTTTAAGTTTTTTAAAAGACTATCATTCAGGAGCTGGGGATACAGCTCAGTTGGTAGAGTGCTTGCCTTGCATGCACAAGGCCCTAGGTTCCATCCCCAGCAACACACACACACACAATCATTCACTGACAGTCTCCTACTAAGGATAGAGATGTGCCTTGTAGCAAGACAGTAAAATGGGGTACTGTTTTTTCCTAGGGGAAGAAACCAAGCACACTCTTTAGTGGCGAATCTTTCGGATGACTTCTTCAGTCTTCAACCACCAGATCAGTTCTCCTGCTCAAAAGGAGCAAGTTAGGGATAGGGATAGGGATATGGCTCAGTGGTAGAGCCCTTGCCTAGCATGTGGGACTGGGGGCATACGTTCAACCCCAACTCTAAAAAAAAAAAAAAAAAAAAAGGAGGTAACAAATTAAATTAGCATGCCTGGGAAAGAGCAAGAAACAAGACTTTGGTCATTTTTTGGCAATAGATAAGACACCTGGTAATTTGAGGAAAGGCTAGCGTATTATTCATTGGAACAGTGAAAATAAGGGCGGTTAGCTAATCTGCCAAAACTATGAGTTCATCTCCTTTTCCATCCATACTTCTTGAATGCCAATTCTGTACCGTGCTAGGCATACGGTGAACAAAAAAAGACAGTCTCAACGCTGAAGGGGCTAACGATCTAGTGAAGGACACAGGAATTTAAAAAAAAAAAAACATACATACCCTGGTGAATTCTTCGGGGACGAAGGGAGAGATCTGCAGAAAAAAATAAGGTCGGGAAAGGGGGCAGGGAGGCCGACCGCGCCAAGGCTGCGCGGGGCGCGCAGGGTTTCGAGCTGCCACCTGGACCGGGCCCGGAGGGCGGGTCCACAGACTTACCGTCCGGCTCCCTCGCTGCCAACGCTGCCCCAGCGCCCCGGCTCCGAAAAAACTGCAGGGCCGTCAGCCCTGCTCCTGCTGCGCCCACTACAGCCCCGGCCAGGAAACCACTCAGAAATCGCCGGGAGCCTTTAATTCTGGAAGCAAAACTCTTCGCAGCCATCTCTCCCGTGGTTCCAATCTTTTTGCCACTGCGCATGTGCACAGTGGGTCCGAAGCCCGACGACCAATCGTAGCCGCAGGATCAAGAGACGCATGCGCGATTCGCAGTACTGTGTTTCGAGCTTCCCAGAGATGCTAGATCCTGAGCGCAGACACGCCCTCGCAGCTTAAGTCCTCGCGCGCCCCCTGGTGACAAACCCTAAGAACCAGGAGCTACCCCCATCTATATCTGGCCGACCCACCTGGAAGTGTGGTAGAGTATGACGTCTTGAAGGTGGTGGAGGTGGTGTTACTGGAGATTGAACCCAGGGCCTCGTGCAAGGCAAGCGGCCTACCACGGACCCACATCCCACGTCTTAAGATCTTAATAGTGTGCATACACAGTCCGAATACCTTTACTCTCATTGACTAGGTGAATAAACACTTGCACATGGTCTACTAAGATACTCAGAATTGAGACTTAAATTCGAAATCTGGTTCCAAAATCTATGCCACACTGGCTTCTTTATGACACCTGGCTTCAAAGTCATATGGTTTCGAAATTATGACTTCTAAAAATAGCTTTGTACATCCTATAGAGTTTCTTGGCAAGCCAGTTCTCCGTGGTGGCTCAAGGCCTTGGACCAGAGTGCAAAAGTTTGGATTCCCCCTTCAATTGCTTTCCACCTTGGGTTTGTTGCTTCACCTTTTTAGGCTTCTGTTTCCTTTTTTAAGCCAGAGTACTACAACTACTTAGACCCTAGGGTTCTTGTAAGGATTAAAGGAGAGGTCACATTAGGGCATGTAGAGAAGTGCCCAGGGCATATCTTTAAGCCCTCTATAAAAGTGATTTTTGAGCCACTTTGTCTTGATAGAATTTAAAATTTAGATTGCTGAATGCCTGTTGACAATATATTATGTGTATGTGTGTTGTATGTATACACACAATGTATTTTTTTTCATAAATCCCCACTTAAAAAAAAACTCACTGCAACAGAATCTCCAGCTTTCCATGTGGACTTAGTTCTTTGCAGAACTTCATGTTTCCCATTTCTTAGACAACTAGTAGCAATATCTTTCATCTGATCTCAGTGATGATCACTTAACTGTAGTACAGGCTGTTTTTGCCAGTCTCAAACAGGAGGCTGCCCCTCCCTAGCAGTACCTCTTCTGAAGTCATATTATATAATCCTGTGGGTCTCTGGCTCTGATTGTGTAAAAGTTAGGTCAACTAGAGTCATTTCTAGGGACTTTGGATCAGGCAACAAAGCTGTGACTCAAACTACCAGTCTGCAGCATTGTTTTCTGCCAAGAAGACAAATGAACAGATGTATCTGGTCCCATACTGAGCAATAATGGAAGAAATGCTGAGACACAGGTAAGGTCTACAATGCTGTGTCGTTGGCTTTCCTGAAGCCCAACCTGCCTTTCCCAAGGCTTAGCTTTTTCCCCTAGGATCTTCTATTGGAGCCCCTTTTTGCCTAGTGGTTTCCGTCACTTGCAACCAAGAATCCTGAAAATTCAACCAAATACTACTATCTGTAGATTTCAAGGCTACTTTGGCAGCTTCTACTAGAATGTTATTAAATACAGTCACTTTAGAATCATTTTTCAAGGCCTTCACTAAATGCTGGGCCCTGTGCTAAATTCTAGAAAGACATAATGGTAGATCATTTTCCTCATCCAGATCCTGCACTTGGAAGAAATGGTAAATCCATACTTTGACCCCAAGAGGAATTGGTTGGGCTACTTGACATTGGGTAGTCAAACTTTCTCTGAGCCAGTTTGCTCACCTATAAAATGAGGGGACTATGCCAGTTTTTAAAGTGTTGATGGAAATGGAGGAACCCTAAGTGCTCCTTAGGTGTGCTTGAGACCAAATGGCCTGAGCCCTCCCATACTTGCTCTCAGACGAACCTGTTTTTATAAACCAACTCCTATGTAAAATCTTTTGGGGAAGGTTTCCTTTGCTGAAGGAAATATATGATCAGATGGGCCCTGAGGTTCAGCCTTTCAGCTTTTCTACCCCCAGGATCCTTTATCAAAAATGTCAGCCTTTTGCCTTCCTGTCATTCATTCTCCAGCTCCTCAGGGGCAATCGCTAACAAAAGGTGAGCTTTCTAAATCTGAAAGAACAGAAAGAGCCAAAGATTTACAAGCGGTCCCTAAATTAAAAGCCCCTTGATCAAAAATTCCTCCAGAAGTTATCATGCAGGTTGCTTAATCCTAATAAAAGACAAATTAAAAGGGGGACATTAAGCCCACTGGAAAGATTCAAAGGGTCTTTTCTGCACTTTGAGCCCTGCAAAATACATTTTTATTGCAGAAAGCAGGTACTTTGAGGCTTTCCTGTTTTCTTGGTTAGGTTGTAGAGGCCATAATTATTTTATTACCAAGGAACCAACCATGTTTCAGTTTAGTGAGACTTAAGTTAGGATCTCCAAAACACGAGATTTGGTTTACTGATTCAGATCTAGGGGCTCATGCCTTTTTTTTTAAAGTAGCTCGCTAGTGACTGGGGTACTTAGCCAAGTTTGGCAATGGCAGGACTTGTATTCTGGAAGTTCTGAATACAACTTTCCTTCAAGGCTTCTCTGTTCCACTTATAAAAATATTGCTCAGGGTCATTTGCAAAGTATAGGAATGGGTGGGAGGGTGGGATCTTGATGATCTGGAAAACACACCCCTGCTCTGCAGGAACTTACCCAGAGTCCCAGATCAGTTCATTTATGAGAAGCCTGCAGTGTTCCTAAGTAGGCCCTGGACTTCTAAATTACAGAAATGAAGAACTGTGCTTGGCTCCAGCCCCACCACAGACTAGGTCTGCAGCCACCAACAACAGCATGTGAATCAAGCAGAACTCACAGGCACACTTACAGGCACCAGTCCTGTAAGCAGGGGAATGCCATTATTTTTTTTTTCTAATTCCCGTGAAAAGAAATTTCAATCCCCTGCCCCATGATTAAAAGAAACAACAAAGTGTTTATTATTATTATTATTTTATTTTCATATACAAAAAGATAAAACTTGAAATAGTTCTAGATTTTTCCTCCTATTCTGTTGGGGTGTGGCTGCTGCTTCACACAGGGGGGAAAAAACTACATTCACATCGGTTTATTTGAGGACCCAGTGCAGAGTTCAAGCAGCAAAACCCCAATTTAGCAGATCTAATTTCAAACTTGACACTCATTTCTAAAAGTACCACAGTAAAAAGGAACAAAGATCCACTGCAAATGAATGAACTATGATACAATGTTCTTTCCAAAATGTTTTCATTTCACAACTGTAATTACATGGATGTCTGCTTCAGGCCATTTTAGGGGTGTGTGTGTGTGTGTTTGTGTGTGTGTGTGTAATATATATATGTATGTATATGTATATATATATATAAATCAGCACACTTTTCAAATCCAGACAGGGTAACAGCAACAAGCTTAACTCTGTGTATATATATATATATATATATATATATATATATATATATATATATATATATAAAAACATGATACTTCAGTATAACTTTTGTTAATTCAGTAGTACAAGCTATTTCTGTTCTACAAAATTTTTATTGTATAGCTACAAGGGTGAAAAGTGACCTACTACATTTACATCTCACATATCCTGGTATACAAACAGTACTTATTGAATTTGAGCCAAAAACTATAAGTTTTTAGTTTTAGCACTTGAAAGAGCTTCCTTGCTTCTACAGTCTTAAATCATACACTAGTCACAATTCCAGAGTTTGTGATTACTTGTCATTTTAAACTGTGAGAAACAGGTGAATCCAAACTTTTAATTACAATTTGTATATACAAGTTAGATAACACAGCTCAATAAGACTTAGCTACCATCCTAAGCCCAACACACACATTCTCCACTAGGTTAGACAAGTCTTAGGGTGGTTCCTCCTTTTCCTTACAAATAATGTACAAATTCAGAAGTAGCTGGTAAAACTGATATATAAGATGGTAAATAAAAGGTGACATTTTCTGTTGGTTCCAAAACTGTTCCTGAAAACTTTGTACTCTGCTGTGTTCTTTAACTGTATGTCTATTATATGCAGAAAGCTCTTTTCACAAGAATTGACATCAAACTCAATGTAAGTTAAATTTATAGTACTGTATAAAGTTATTTAGATTCAAGGACAAATGTGGGAAAGTATTAACAAGTGAAAATTTGGCCTTTGACATTACCATTACAATTATGTCAGATTCAAAAGCAGATTCTTCTGTACAGTTGAAAAATGGCATCATGTGGATTTGTGGCATGGAAATGAAATCTAGAAATATGTTTCTAATCTGCGGTAACTCTCTCCTTCAACTCTAAAGTACCACTCAATTTTCTTTGCATTTTTACAGAGTTCTCAAAAAAAAATGAGAGGGAAAAGCCACTGGCATTTTAACACTTGTTCCCCTCACTGGTGGTCTTAGTGTTTCAGATGGGGTCTCCCAAAGAATCTCTAATGAATCATTCGCTCCTAGATGGCCTGACAATGACTTGGACACTTTTCAAATTAAAACTCAGATGTTGCCTAATCTTTCCTACTCGCATCTCTGTCATTGTTGTAAAATTTGGATGACTGCATTTTTCCCTTACCGAGAAATTATTTGGCTAAACATACACTTAACTCATGGCAGTGCTCTGAGAAAACCCCACTTGGGCTAAAGCACTTGCAGGGACTGAAGTCAACAGTCCACTGAAAGGGGCAAAGATCAAACACTCAGAGGGCTGAGCCTGGACCCACTGGGAACACAATGACCTTGGTGTCCCATGGTCAGGAGGGCAGCAGGACAGCCCAGGCAGGCAGATGGCATCACTGAGTTACCACTTTTATCTTGGTCTGCCATCTATGCCCCAGAAGACAAAATTCAGATGTGGTGACTGCTGGTTAATTAAGCTTCTTGAACTGGTAAAAAAGGCTCTTTAAAAATATATATATATTTATTTATTTATTTATTTATTTAAAATACATCATAATGACAAACAGCCATATCCCAACAAGGCCTAATTTCACAGCAACATATGCTACAGACATCTTCCCAAAAATGCACTGTGGTGGATGGTGGGTTTTTATCCTGCCATTTAAAGGAATGTTCTACATGTGAGCTTTTAGAGACTGGAAATGTGTTACAAAGAGCTCATCTTTGGAACTAGTTTGCATGCAAGACCAGCCAGTTAAGTTGCTTCACTTAATCAGACACACAAGAATACTGAAAACGGCAGAATGCAGAGGAGCGCAGGAAGCACCTTCAGATGACACTCCAGACCAACCCCACCACAGCCAGGATGAAATCACCAGAAGCCCTTCTCAGTCCTTGTTTCACTAAAACAAGTTTAAGTGCCCACACTCAGCAGGGTTCCTGCGTGTGTATGTTAAGTCTGCAGTATCAAGAGGACCCAGATGGTGACACCATTCAACATGAGGTCTGAGGTAACTGGTTCTTAAAAGACCTGGATCACACAAGTGCATCCAGAAATTAGAGCTGGGAAAAAGGAAAAAGGCAAGGGATTTGGGGATAGAAAAGACAAGTAGAAAAAAGCTTACAGCAGTTGCTTTTGGAGGAGGAGGGTGACAAAAACAAAGGCACAACAAAATTACATTCCAAGACAGGTGGCTGGAGAGCAGAGAAATGTCCTTTTATGGGAACAGAGAAAGGAGTGCGGGTTAGTTCCTGTAGTGCTACTGGATCTGCTGGAACTACATTTGTTGTAAGTATAAAAGGGTGAAGTGTAAACTACACTCTAAACCAGAAGGAACAGAAAGCACAGCTGGCTTTAAATGACACATCAACTACCTCCAGTGTACCTCTGGAAGCCATGGCCCGAAGCCAGTAGGCAGAGTGTGGGGGTCAGGCCTTTACCTGGGCCTCAAAGCTAGCCATTATGAACACTAGGATTTAGCTTAATTATTCAGTTTCCCTAGATCCCCATCAAAAGTTGCACTCAAATAACCATCCACTCTCTACCCAAAATTAAAAAGGTTAAAATGAAACCCCCTTCCACTTGATGGCAGTGATGCTGACCTTTGTGGGGAAAGTGGAAAAAACCTCTGAGGACATGTGAAAGATGCCCTGCTATTACTGGGTTTCTAGTTTCCTCAGTAGGCTATCCTGGCTGATTCAACAGATTAAAGCAGTGAGCCAACCACTCACTCTAATCTCCAAAGGCCCTGACCACCGGGGACAAGATATGCCGGTAGCTCTTCATTTAATCTAATCACTATGTCCACATGCCCTACCCAATTCTGACCATATCCAAGAATTATTCAACTCAATAATTTAGTCCTAGGTAATTCAGTTTAGTGGAACTCAAACCAATAAATCCCCATTTTAAAGTTTTTGTAGCCTAAATCTTTTTCTTGTGCATCCTGCCCCCATCTGTGCCCCATAAAATTTCCATTCCCCAAATACCCTCAACACAACTATATTTTGTGTCAGGAGCTTACAACCGAATGTTTAACTTCAGAACCCTCTGTTCAGAAATCTCAGGAGGAAGCATAAATGTCAAACACACTGCAGGCCCCCCCTCCTTCAGGTCTGTAAGGAGCCTAGCTGAAGCATCTGTCCTTCACAGCCACAAGTGGGAATTTTGGCCAGGAGAATCATAAATTGACTCTAGGCTGCCAGTGTATACAAGAATCTGTGTGAGTGCTAAGTAAAAATTCACACCCCTCATGCTCCAGTGTACATTTATCCTGAAAGGTAAAGCTCAGTAGCTCTGATTACAAAAGCATTCTTATTCAAACTCACTAGACTTTATAAAAATAATCTGTGGTATAAAACAATCTCCACACTGTGTAGAAGAAATCTGTCAGGTGATATAACTAAATATATATGTAGAGCTATAGATTTTTTTGAAGTAAAATTTCAAGTGTTATGTCTCTATTATATAACCTATTCTTTTATTTACAATGCTATCTAACAGTACTGATGCAAACATGATTAGGAGAGTCAGGGAATGGGTCCATACCCAACCCAACAGTGGAAGTTCCCAGAACTCAAGACACAACTCATTCATTCAAAAAGACCCATCGTCACTGACTGGGGGCGAGGGGGTAAGCCTACTGACTAATGGGTCACAATTTTCTTAACTGTGAGCTCAACAACATAAACTTTGCAAACGAATGTCACACTTCTGTAGGCATCCAAAATAGCCCTCCTTTAAATAACATACTGCATACATCCATACAGCTACATGTATGTTTCTTTAGTGTCCTGTGACTGCCTAAACTCTAGACTATCAGAAGATACTGCCCCAGAGGAAAAAAGGTCAGCGCAGAGCCCATCACCCACTCAGGTGTTTAGAGAATATGCATTTTAATTCTTAAGGAAAAACCACTTCAGTTATCTCTACAAGCTGCCATAGGAGCAAATAAAGTATCACTGTTTTGGCACTACAGGATATACATGGAGTACCACAACTGAAGTCTTGCTTCATTCATACCTGGAAGATACCGTCATGACAATGTTAAAACTTGATAAAAACTTAAACAGTGGTAAATACTTTACATTCAAATTCTTGTCCAAACCAAGTTTATAGTGGACCCCCAAACAGGTGTGAAACGTGCACATTCAAAATATCCCACTAAATAACTTGGACTTTTGTTGACAGCTGCTAGGCCTTTTGAACTTACTGTCTTAAAAAATGTGATTGGATCAACTGGATTAAGGGTATTTTAAACTTCAATTTCTTTTTTCCTACAAAACTAAATTATTATCTCAAGAAACTATTCCAAGCCTTCTAAAGGTTTGGGATACATTCATAGGTAGACTGCTGGTTACAAATCAACTACCTGGAATCTTACTTAAAGAACTATGAATATAACCCTGAATGCATTAAATGTTTAAAATATAGACTGAGAAAATAACACAGTTCATCAAGTGAATTACTGGGCCTAAAACATATTGATCTAGTCTTAAATTCCTTATTACTAGGCTGAACACATTAGCTGCCGAGTATTTTATCAGTTTAGCTTTTGCAAACAGCCATTGATCAAGAAGAAGTCATGTCACCCAAGTGTGAAGGAAAGTCCATATTGTCCCCTTTCTGGATGCTCCCCTACCATGTAAATAATAGATGTACTGCACTTCTTGAAAAGGGTGGTCTAATGCCCCTGAAATGTGTACCAGGCCTAGTCATCTGTCCAAAAGTACACCACTGAAAACCCAACAGGCTGCAATAAAGACAAAATCAAACTGAACTACTGGACACCTTTCCAATTTAGTTAAGTTTCTAGTGAGCCAAGTTCTTGAGAATAATGATTATTTAACTTCTAGTTCCAATCCTAAAAACTCATATGCTTACTATATTACTTAGCAAAAAACAAGCAAACAAACAAACAACAACAGCAAATCCTCATTATTACCAGTAGGTACTAGGAACTTTACATACTAAAAAAGGTAAAATTCTATTTGTAAGAGGGCCACCTAGTCCTCCCATTTTGGATGGGACTATCATTTCCCTGCCTTTGTGGCTCGACCATAGGGGCCACATGACAGGCTTTTCTGAGACACACAGAGCACATGAAGAACATTCAATACACAGATCAGGTTCCCAAGGAAAAAACCCACATATAGCCCAAGCCCAGGGCATAGTTAGCAGGACAGAGAGAATATGAATGTGATCAAATGGAAAGAAAGGCCGTAAAGCAGAACTACAGGATCGAGTGCTATGCTTCCTAAAGCATCAAGCATGTCAGGAGTGCTGACCTAGCCTCTTGAGGCAAGTTTGGTAGCCTGGAGAGGACAACCCCTTCCCTTTGCTCAGAATATGTGAGCAGAAGATGATATTCAAGGTTAGGCAATGTGCTTCTTATTCTGCACAAATGGCCCCAACTAGGGACAGGATAAATTCAGACTCAAGCAGCTGGCACCACTTTGCCTTGTAGCCAGATTTTCCCCTTTCTCCCCAGAACACCCCATCTGCAGTTCTTGTTCCCTCCTGCTAAGGACCAATGGTCCCAGGAGAAAATCCAGCTCATGCCAGCCCAGTATGCTCTGATGATATGTCCATGGCCTCCCCTGCTCACCCTATCACTGAGGACCCTCTGTAGGACACTGTGACACAGTGGCCTCTGTCTTTACTTGCTTCCTCCTTCTCTGGTTCATTTCCGGATCTCTAGCTAAGGATAAAATCCCAGTTATTACAGGGGTTTTCAACCAGGACATTATCTATGGAAGCCCATCCCCAAAGCCAGGGGCTGCTTAGATGACAGAACACTGGAAAGGAAAGAGCAAGGATCCTTGGCTACTTCTCTTCCCTGATTTGGCCCCCTGTAAACCTACAGGGCTGGGACAGTGCCTCTCATGGGCAGGGACAATGAGACCAGGCCTTATTTACAAGTCTCCCACAATGCTTGGAGCAAAAAAGTAAAATAAAAATAGCAGTTCTCTGGATGCCCCAAAAGTGGATGTTACATGAAATCTGTGGACAGAAACACAGGCAGAGGCCCTGTGATCCAATCACCACCATCACAGATGCATATCAGGACTCTAGGAGTCTCCCAACTCACAGAGCACGTGATAGCAGCAAATGAAACCTTTACCCAGTGGCAAAAGGCCCACCCAAGCTCCCAGAAGGTGGTAGATAGAAATCACCCACCTTCCAGCCAGTAGCAACCAAATGTGCCACCTGGAGCTAAAGGAAGCACCTTGAAGCACAGAGTAGGGGTAGTAGTGGGGGCAGTCTGAAGCCCTGAGAACTGCACAAACCCCCAAACTCTCCCTGTTCCCAGCCACACCAAACAGATACCACTCCTTACACTCCATTCTGATGTCAAGGCCCCACAGGGCCACTGCAGGGCCTGGGTGAGGGGTCAGCAAAGAAAAGCCACTCAGAGAAAAGGTATGCCTGCCCTCCTGTTCTGCACCCCAACCAGAAGGTCCCACAGAGCCAGGGCTCAACGCTCCTTTGGCCAGGCCAAAAGAATTAAGCCAGTGCACAAAAGAAAACCAACCACCCAGAGGAAATGAAAAACCAAACAGGGAAGCTGGGGTTTAGTGTTTGGCACTGGGTAGAATTAGTGATCTGATTATTCCTGCAGTGAATTAGCTACATTTATTAGTGGTTTATTTGTTTCTTCTGAGGGTGAAAAGTGGAGATGCCCCCACTGCCTGAGGAAAAAGCTAAAAAAAGTAGATATGGCACTTTTCAATAAATATTTTAAAGCTTCTTAAAGAAATAAGTGGAAAAGAAAAGCAACTGCTGTAAGGCCTGTTTGCTGTTAAAAATTATTCCAAGGGAACAAAATAAAACAGGGAAAAAAAAAAAAAAAGACATAGCTTACCAAAACAAAAAGAAAACCATCTGTCCCAGTGACCACTTGACCAATCCACATTTTGACCCATGAAGCAAAAACTGAGCTTGGACAGGGAAGTAAATTGGCCTCCCACAGCATCCTGTACCCACTCAGAGAAAAGGACACCCACAAGCAGAAGGCCCAGATGCCACACACAGCAACTGAGTGGAGCAGCCACCCAAGTGTGAGCTGGTCCATCACACTCAGACTCCCACACCCTCTACCCCAGACAAGCAGCTCTGGCAACTGCCCTCAGGGCATAGTGTGTGGCCACTGGTGCTATTAATCCCCTCCAGTATTACTACTGCTCATCTACTGAAGGAATTAAATCTCAGGTAAAATTACCTCATGTGGGTATAAGGGTCACAGTTTTACAAGTTAAAGTGGGGTCATAGGTTATTCTGAACATCAACCAATCAAGTTATGGGAAACATCTGACCTTCCAAATAACCCAGGAGGTAGCAGCCCTCTTCAGTCTACCCAGGTCAACCTCTCTCCATCACCTGCCAACTCGCCTACTCTTGAGATTAAGAGACACACTGTTTTAAAATAAAATGATCTAAGGAAACCAGGAGGAGCCTTCACCAACAATAGTGATGAACGCCCAGACTCAGCCCAGCCAGCCAACCTATACTCGATGACAATTATTTACAAGGGGGCTTTATCAAACAAAAATGGTAGTACTCCCTAGAAGACAAACTTTTTTTCTTTTTCCTCTATTTCTTTTAAACATCCTTGTCATAAAAGTCAACTTACATTAAAATATACTTACTACAAGACAACACAACTAACAAAATATATAATAAAACTTACACAAGTAGAAAATTCTGAGGTATTTCTGGTTTGAGGTGGTCTGTGGTCGTGAAGTTTTAATTCTTTTACTTTTTTTAAAATTTAAACCTCGGAAGCCACATAGCAAAGCATGTGTGTATATGTGGATGTGTGTTTTGTCTGAAAAAAAAATTTAGCATGTTTTATAAATTAAAAATTTTCAAATGTTGAAACAGCAGCATTAGGAACATTCACTGATTAGAGCAAGGTTATGGCATAATAGAAAACGTTTTTTAGAATATGCACCACTTTAAGGGGTCTGGAGAAAGCCATGTCCACAAGCCACAGAATGGGGTCAGTAATGTCACCACATGGGGCTGAGCCAGAGCTGCAGGGCTTGCAAGGTCCCCAGAGAGACAGGCCGTCTTTGTGGGGCCCATCCAGGAATTCTCTTGCCCTAGCTGTGCAGGGCGCCCCCTAAGGGCATTTTCCTAAACTGCCCCAGGAGGAAACAATTTCAATATTTCCTCCATTAGAGATACTTACAAGCATCATATCGCATGAAGAATGTTCACTGAACTGTGATGATTTCTGCCTTCCACATAATCTTAAAAATTTGGGCAGAAAAAAATGTTTCATCTTAGGCCAAGCCCAGGTCAACAGAAAGAAACTGGTGGGACCAGCAGGTGGGTCAGAGCTGCCCCTGCTCTCAGACTTTCTCCAAACCCCGCACTTGCCCTTAATGTTCGGCCTCCACAAGGTCCTTGCCCTCAATTCCTGGGTACCTGAGAAGTAGCCTCCACAGCAAAGGATGTTGCTCCGAATGTGCCCAAGTCCAGTGTAGCTCTGTTCCAAACCCTACCCTAGCACCATCCTCCCCTTCCAACCCCAGTCCAAACTCCTCGTCCTCATCCCAGTTTTTTTACTTGATCAGGACAACACCCGTTAAATCCGTGAAAGACACATCTGCTGTTTCTTAAGCTCACTGCCTAAAAAGGGAGAAACAACAACAAAAAAATAATAAAGTGGTGGGGAGGAGGGGGTGAGGGCCAAGGAGAGAGGAAATGCCTCTTCTGAGGAAGGTATGTTCTTATGTAACAGTCTTCAAAGGTTCCTCGAGTAGAGTTTGCAGCATTAAGTTTCCTAAGACAGGAGATGGGTTTCTTTGTGTCACAGATTCTGAGACGACAAACAAAGAGAAAATGGGAAAAATGAATCCCAAAGGACAGGAGGTGGCTGAGGCTCTTCAGCATGGCGCTGGTTCTGCATTCACAGCTCAGCACCTCAACGCCTGCTGACGTGTCCGCTGTTTGCAATACAGTAGAGCAATATGCTGGTAAAAACTGATCCAATCCAAAAAATAATATTAATAATAATAATTATAATAATTATAATAATAATAAAAAGTCAAGGTAAAATAGCAGCTGCATTTTATGTGTTTGTTGGTTTTATGGGATTTCCAAAACAAAACACAACTTTTTTTTTTCCTTTTTTCTTCAGATCCAATGAGTCTGGAGAGACACTCATGTCCTGGGCTTAGATGCTGGACTCCTTGGGGGGCAGGTCCACATTGGTGACAGAGGTCACCAGTGAGACAAGACAGTCCGAGGTAGTGCTGTTGACCGACCTCCGGATCAGGGACACTCGCTCCTCCACGCAGCCTGCAGATAGGCGAGCTTCTGCATCATGGTCCCAGCACTCCTCAATGGTCACACAGAGCTGGGCCAGGCCCTGTACAACAGTGGGAGAATGAGAAAAGACACCTTGTTAAGACCTCTAAGTAAGGACAAGCATGGAAGACACCAAACTTGATGATGATCCCAAGGATCAGTCAAAGCCTATTGGCCAAACCACACCAGCAGGTCAATTAACAGGTGCCTAGTGGAAACTGCAGCAATCACCATGCTTGCCTTTCTGATAGCCACTACCCTGAGCCCACTGGCTTCCGTCAGCCCCAGAACATTGCTACTCCTCAGCTTACGAAGGGGAGGGATCCAGACCCCTCCTAGAGGAGATACAGCTGCTTACCTTGGAGCAGTGGTATTAAATCATATTTTATGCAAAGCCCAAACACAAAGGCCCAAAGTGTAACATATGAATCATAGTGAGAACCAAGAAGAGGGCATCATTCTAGCTTACCCCGCACAGCCCCTGGAGCACCTTTCTAGGATCTAAAAAATGGACAAGCTTCCTCTTTGTCCCTTTCTCCCTTGATCTCAGGCTCCTGCTATGCCCCATGGAATCCCTGCACTCAGACCCCTCACCGGGTGCTTTAGCCAGTGATCCTTAATGGTGGGTCGCATCTTCTTGTGAACAACCACCTCCTGCAGCTCTTCCAGCGAAGGGTGCTGGCCAATCTCCTCCTCAAAAGGCAGCATATACTCATCCACGGGTCCTGAAGGCAAGAGAGAACCTGGTTGGATGACATGGAGGCCCCTCAGCTCCCAACTCAGGATGCCCAAAGTTGCTATCCCACTCACCATCTGCAGCCTTGCAGCGAGACACAAGCTCCCACAGCACCAGCCCCATAGCATACATGTCAATGCGCAGGAAGGCGTCTCGCTGGAAGTTGATGGCTCCCTCAAGCACCTCAGGGGCCATGTACCGTCTGGTGCCTACCTGCATGAGAACAGAAGAGTGCAGGGTCTCCAGACACTAACCAAGCATAAATATACACTCAGCCAGGGCACAGAAACCATAGCCTGTGTGCACCACAGCAGGATACCAAAGACAGCAAGCCCTGACTCACTGCATTCACAGCAGGGTCATGAACTGTACCTGCGCATGATTTTAAAATATAACACACTGGAGTCAGCAGTGGTAGAAAATGGAATTGCTTTCAAATTCCAACAGCAAGACCACAAGACATTTATATCAATGATGTGTACTTTCTGAGGTTTGAAACAAAAATAAAGCAAGAAGAGAATACTTAAGATCAAAATGGACTGCTATGGGATGATTTGCTAGGTTTAATTTTTTGGCTACTTTTTCTAGGTTCTTGGCTTAGAGTCTTAATACTTTTCTATTTTGTTTTTTGATTGATAATTATGACTGGGGGAAAAAAAGATTGAGACCACAAGGACAAGTGGCCAAAACCTGAACAGGGAATCTAGGTTTCTTAGCTGACTGGCCTGGGGAAGCTTCACAAGCCACCAGGCCTTGGCTTCTTCACTGCTAACACAAGATCTGTTCCCTGAGTTCTTAGCTCCAAAGTCATGCCCCTAGAAGTTGTCAGCTCAATCCCAGAGTATCCACCCTGGTTCAGCCCCCCCACTTCCCAGGCCCAGGCTCATTACCTGCCCATGGGTGTCCCCTGGAGGTTTCCCTGGCTCAAAGCGAACAGCCAGGCCAAAGTCAGCCAGGACAGCTGTGAGGTCACTCTTCAGCAATACATTCTTGCTTTTAAAATCCCTGTGGAGACAATTGGGCCCCAATGAAGTAGAACATCATGATCCAACATCCCTTGTGCTTGAACATTATGATCTAACTCCCACCTTGGCTCTTAAGATATTTGAGTCTGTGCCCCAGAGCCCCTAGATTAGATCATCCCACCCTATCTGGGGTGCAGGGTCTGTGCCTGGGTGCAGAGGTAAGGCAGCTTCAGGAGCCCAAACAGGTGTGGGAATCCCTCACTGCCTTTGATAAAAAAGACTTCTGTCAATGTTGGCAAAGCAATTCCTACCCCAATGGCTGGTCAGACCTTGTCCCAGTCCCCACAGCATCAAAGGCCAGCCCACACATCCTCAGAGGGGTTGGGAGACAGGTACACTGGCCTGGGATGCACATTTTCTGGGAAGAAATATTTGGAATGTGAGTGAAAACAGGAATTTAAAATTAGCTTGCCAAAGATCCTGACAGGCCACAAAGGCAGAGTGGAACAGGGTCCTGGAGTATGCGTTCATTTTCACTCCTTAATAAGAACCACTTTGGTCCTCAATTTCCCCAGCACCTGTCCCAGCATTGCTATGAGGATAAAACTGAGTGAGCAGCAAACAAAATGCTTTGGGCCACCCCTGGCAAACTTACTATGCATTACTGTTAAGTGGAACCATATCCAAGAGTCTACATTCAACCTTTTGACCTACAAAAATGGCAAGTCTACACAACCTCTATGTCACTACTGTTAACACCCTTAGGGACCTTTCAGCTTAGAAACCTGGACTTCTGAGTCTCATTCCCCTCCCTCATAGTTATGGAGACAGACTAACTAGTTATACGGGACCTTGTCTAAGGCACTCAACCTCTCTGCACTACTGTTCCTTCACCTTTAAGATAAGGAGAAGAAACAGTTTCTACCTTACAAGGTGGTAACTGAGGAGTCAATAGGTTGGTATTTCTCAAGCATTCAGGTATTTCTCAAGCATTACTGCCTGCAATTCAGTAAAGCACAATGGTGACAAGTTAAAAATGGTTCTTAACGTATGGTTCAAGGGCCTGGTGCAGTGGCGTATCCTATATTCCTAGCAGCTTGGGAGGCTGAGGCAGGAGGATCATGAGTTCAAAGCCAGATTCATCAATTTAGTAAGGCACTAAGCAACTCAGTGAGACCTTGTTTCTAAATAAAATACAACACATGGCTTGGGATGTGGCTCAGGGGTCAAGTGCCCCTGAGTTCAATCCCCAATACTCCCCTCCACAAAAAGTATGGTTCAAAGACCCCAAAAGATTCCCAAAATTGTTTCAGGAGCTCTCAAGGTCAAAATTTTTCTTTAATTATCTAGCATTTGCCTTTTTAAGTTTTTCCTCTCAGAAATATAGAAAAGAGTTTTCCAAGGACTATATGATAGATGATGTCCTCACTCTAAAAAGATAAGAGTGTGTGTGCTCTACTCTAGGAAATATCAACAGACAAACCCCACATATACAAAAATTCCTTTTAAGGGTTAAAGGGTTCTAACCATAAAGTTCAAGAATTGCTGAGCCAACTCTTCAAAGTAACGCAGTCGGCACTTCCTCATATAGCCATTAGAGGGCACCAGAAAACCAGTTTAGGAGGCCATGCCATCCAAAGGACACAGGTAAAGGCCTGGTTCTGTACCCAGTCATTACAATACAACACAGGGAGACTAGGCATGTATAGAAAATTGAGACACACCTTACACCCTCCTCTCACCCACCAACCCTCTCCAGTTCCAGGCCAAGCACAGAGAGAGCACCTGCTAGCCCAGGTACCTGTGGGCAATAGACGGCTTGTGGCCCTCACCACGGCACCAGGGTACATCCTCGTGCAGGTACGAAAGGCCTCGTGACATCGTTTCTGCCACATGACACAGTTCGTTCCATGTGATGATGTTCCCCTTGAGGTAATCCGTGAGGGAGCCCTAAGGAAGCACAAATCTTAGACACAGGCTCTAGGTGAATGGCAAGACCCAACCTAACCAACCCAACCCAGCCCAGCCCTAGGAGAGATGTCTTTGAAGGCCAATGGTTGGGCTCCTCTCCTGGGAGTCTATAATGAACAGGAAAGGCAAATGAGACCAGGATAGAAAGTCCAGGGGTAATCATTAAGTCACTACTCTTATTATAGATGTAACCTCAGGGTCAGGGGCTCTTATAGGGACAACCTGGTCCACACCTATGGCAGAATCACCTCATGGGAACCTTTCCATCGCGTACAGATTGACAGCATGGCCCACCTTGTCATGGAAGGCCGTGATGAGCCACAGCTCCACCTCAAGGTTGGAGCCTCGTTTCTCAGCAGCAATGAACTGCAGCAGGTTCTCATGCTTCATGCCAGGCGTGCTGAAGATCTCCCTTTCACTCTGCCACGACTGCTTGTCCTGGAGCATGGAGGCAGCTCAGTCAGGATATAGCCACACAACCCCACAGCAAGGCGGTTGCACTTTCATCCATCCCCCTCCCACTAGCCTCTCAGTTTCAGCATCCATAAGGGGCCTAGGAGACCAGGACTGAGCCACACAACATCAGGCCAGCAGCAACCTCTTAGATCACTTAACATCAGCCATGATTTAAAAATGAAACCATTGCGGGTCCAGAGATGGGAAGCGAGTTGCCCCACATCACCCAACAAGTGAAAGGCACGCCAGGCCAGGCTTTGTTAAGTGTCCTAGGCAAATGCATGGGGTGGCCTGGTGTCCAGAGTTGCTGAGCAGAACATGACAGCAAGAACAAAAACCCAGGGGCTGGGGCTGTAGCTCAGTGGCTGAGCGCTCACCTCACATGCGTGAGGCACTGGGTTGGATCCTCAGCACCACATACAAAAATAAATAAGACAAAGATTGTGTCCATCTACAACTAAAAAAAAATTTTAAAAAAAGAACAAAAACACATATACCATAGAAGATCAAGGTATAGCAAAGCCCTGCCCTGGTTCTTCAATGCAATTTAACTGCTAAATGCAGTCCCCATATAGCTGAGAGTAACGTAAATGGCAACTTCAATGCAGCTATTTCTTCCTCATCCCACCAGTGTCCAGGGTTTGGACTGCCCTTGCGTAGAAGAGTCTCAGCTCAGGCCACAATGAGGGAAGATGACTTGGAGCCCCCACTCACTCACCTGGAGTGGGAAGATCTTGACAGCCACAAAGTCATTCATGAGCTGGGCCTTCCAGACACAGCCAAAGCGGCCACGAGCCTTGATCTCCAACAGCTGCAGTGGCTTCAGACCCACCAGGGGGGATGGGGGTGGAGGCCCAGGGTCCTAGCAGAAAGCAAAGTCTTAACCAGTTCTGGCCTAGCCTCATGCCCCCTCCTCACGCCTGCCCCAAGACTGCACTGTCTTACCTCGTGGATGTCCACATGGCCATAGGGAGGCTTACGATGCCGATACATCCAGAAGGCCAGCAGGACGATGAGGGAGAGGCCCCCAATGGGCAGCAGCGAGTAGGCCAGCACCGTGAGCAGGGTAGGGGCTGTCGGGGGTGGCTCGTACGTGACTGGGGGACACACGGAGCCCTGCGTCACATAGCCCGCCCACTCCCACACCTTCACAGGGCCCTGCAGCCATTCCCCATCCAGCTCCAGAGCTGAGCACTCTGGGCCAAGGAGAGGCCCAAGTCTGCTAGGTCAGATGCCCTCTTCCCACTGGCCCCTCACCTTCTGGGCCCCCAGCCTCCGGCAAGTGGGTGAAGCGCTCGTTGCAGAAGTTGCCTTCGCAGCAGCAGAAGTACACCTGCGGGTTCTCCTCGGTGGCCACACACTCCTGCCTGAAAGCAGAGAGCTTTCCTTACACAGGCAGGGGATGCAAGACTCTCCCAGGCCTGCCCAGCCAAACCCCTCCCTATAAACAGAGCATCTCTGGGCAACATCAGCAGGACAGGTGAAGCCATCCAAAGTTGGGGAGAGACCACTAGGAGTCAACACACCCTGAAACCCCTCCTCAGAGCTGGAGCAGGGCAAACACGGTTGCGGAAGAGCGTGGGAGCCTGCTTATCACCTGAAGAGCCCCTTTCTTGCTCAGTTATCCTGAGAGCCACAGGGCCAAGCGGGAAGTGCAAGTATAGGCAGGCTTCAGTAGAGGAAGGGCAAGCCTTGTGGTACCTGTCATAGCAGTTGAAATCATCCAGCCAGCAGCCCTTCTTGACGAGCTCGATGGTGCCTGAGCTGTTGCGCCAGGAGGCGTAGCAGTGCAGCCTCTTGTCTTGCTCACCCTCACAGCGCTCCAAGCCACTCTGATTGGTGCGTTCCAGCTCCCAGTTGGCGTTGTAGTAGATGCACTCCCGTGTCTCAGCCTCCCCACGCCCTGAACCTGTGCCCAGAGAAGAGACACTGAGCATGCCCCACAGGGCTACTGTCCCAAACCACTCTACTGGGCACCATGCTCCCTCTGTATCCAACACCTCAGCTTACTTTGTGCCAGCCTGCACCATCCCCAGCTCACTTTTCCCACTATAGCTGCCCTAAGCCCAAGCAAGGGGGAAAGGAAGGAAACCTAATACCATGCAGGATGGACAAGCAGCCAGCCACTGGCACAAAAGGTGGCATTAATAGTGCCTGAAGCTGGGTGATGGCGGGCTGCTTCCCTGCAGTACCAGGATTAATGAAGAAGCCCTCAAAAGCCCCAGTGCAAAATCTCTATAAGTGCAGGGGTGGGGCTATAGTATTTAATAAAAACAAACACTCTCAGGCATAGTCCAGATCTATCCAATAGGAATAAGGGCAGGATCTCCATTTTTAACCTTCCTGTCTATCTCAGGAGATACTGATGCAAACCTTTAGGACTACATCTGGAGGAACTATAAGGAGAAGCGGCTTCCTACTGCCCCCTCTCTCCTTGGTCACCACGGTGCTCCGCCCCCAGATGAGCTGGAATGTCCTCCACAAGAGAACAAGGACCCTCCAGTGTCCCTTCTACACCCAGCATCCATACCTGGTGCTGCAGAATTCTGAAGATAATGAGGCCTGCACAGGTAAACCTCCCAGAATCACCAGCAGTGATATGTGCCTCTAGCAGGAGAAGAGCTGGCTAGTGGCTAAGTTGTAAACACAGATCAATCTCCCAGCTGGGCTTGGCCCCTGATGATGACCCCCAGGCAGGCATTCCACTCCTGAACTTCTTTCTATCTCCGGAAGAAATGCCACCCAGGTGGTCAACTGCTTTAACCTTCAACTGCCTTCAAATGCTTTCCTTTAAACATGGCATCAAACATTTACCAAATCCACCTTCTTTACTATCCCTACAAGATGACCCCCAGACCCAGTCCTAGCTTGTTCCCAATTCCCCCATGAACTCTTTTGCCCTAGGATGGAAAAGAATATGCAGATGGCAAAAGAGATTTTGCCTGGGAGTAGTCAGCTATGGCCCCTTCACCAGGCATCCACACGAAGGACTCACTGCCAGAACTCCATGAAGATATCTGAGAGGAAACCAGCAGTAAACATTCACCAGTCTTTCCACACTCCTTGAGCCTACTGTGGGGCAGTGCCTATCAACACCCCTGGCTGGGCTCCCCGAGTCTCCCCCGACAACTGTGCCCACCATAGGAGGAGAAGGAGCCAAAGTCAATCCCAAAAAACCACCAGCCAGCCCATGCGCAGCCTGACTTCACTGACAGCAGGAAAGGCAGGCAAGGAGAAGGAAGCCCACCTGATCCTGGGGAAGGCAGTGCCCTGAGTTCTAGCACAGCCCACGGCTTGATTCCCAAGGCCTATTCATCGAGGAGAATACTGACTGGTAGAGGGAGGAGCCCCTCTACCACAAGGAGGAACACACTCTGCTCAGACTCACCCTTGCTCTACCTCCCTGCAGTGATAAAAGGTCCTTCCAGGGGGGCCTGGCCAAGGCCAAGCATCAAATTCCAAGGCTCCAGGTAGGACCAAATCATTCAGGTAGGTTCAAATTATCACCCAACTAGAATGAAAACATCCAACCATAGCTCTGGCCATCCAAGGCCATGTGGCCTAGACCCTGACACTTGTAAAAGGAAAAAGTGGCTTTGTGACAAGCCAAGCAGCTGGGACTCAGCCTGGCCCTCAAAAAAGGGCCTCAGGGTCTACATGGGTACTCACACAGGGGCGTACACTGACTTCCCCCAGTCAGACCCTTCCTCAAATACAGGCTTATAGTGTAGGGGGAGAAGCTGAGGGGATCCAATGCAGGTAGGAGCCAAAGACTGAGCAAGTACAAGGGCCCCTGCCCACTCGCAACAACATCCAGTAGCTTAGCTATGCAAAGCCCCTAGTCCACACAGTGCATGCCAACTCTCCCCAACCTGAGGCCCCACTGCCTCCACAACAGCAATTCTAGCGGGGGAAGACTTGAGACTTGCGGGAAAGCCTCCAAGTTGGGCTGCAGACAGAGGAGATATGCACTCCCTCATCTACTTCCCTCTCTGCAGTCATACCTCACTGCCAGGTTCTTGAATGTGCTGGGCTTCTAGGCTTAGTACCCATTACCACCTCTGGCTGTAAGATGTTCCCCACTTTATCCCTAGGATTTCAGCCTGCCTCTCCCCTAAAACCAGGCACACTCTACTTCCATTGGCCTTATATTTCCTCTAGCACCTAATTTACCACCCTTGGTTAATCACCTGTTCTTATTTAAAGGACTATTTCAGACACCCAAAAACTGTATGCTTAACATAAACAAAAATAATTCCCAAGAAGAAATAACAATATTAACATAATGAACACTTGCATAAGAAATAAAATATTACAAATGTGCTCAACAGCTGCATTACAAATGCCAGCTTCCACATAGAGACAAACCCATATAAATACAGCTATCTCATACTAGACAAAGGCAACATAAACATACATTGGAGAAAAGATGGCCTAGACAACAAATGGTGCTGGGAAAACTGGAAATCCGTATGTAGCAAAATGAAATTAAACCTGTACCTCTCACCCTACACAAAAATCAACTCAAAATAGGCACTAGAACACAGACACTACACCTAATAGAAAAAAAAAAAAAGCAGGCCCAAATCTTCATCATGTCGCCTTAGGACCTAACTTCCTTAACAAGACTCCTAAAGCACAAGAAGTAAAATTAAGAATCAATAAATGGGGTGGATTCAAACTAAAATGTTTTCTTCCTAGCAAAGGAAATAAACAATAACGTGAAGAACCTACAGAATTGGAAGAAATCTTTACCACACACACATGAGACAGAGCACTAATCTCCAGGATATATAAAGAACTCAAAAAACTTAACACCAAAAAAACAAATAACCCAAACAATAAATGGGCTAAGGAACTGAACAGACACTTCACAGAAGAAATATAATTGATCAAAAAACATATGGAAAAATGTTCATTATCTCTAGCAATTAGAGAAATGCAAATCAAAACTACTACTCTAAGATTTTATCTCACTCCAGTCAGAATGGCAATTATCAAAAATACAAACAATAATAAGTGTTGGAGAGGATGTGGGGGAGAAAGGCACACTCATACATTGCTGGTGGGACTGCAAATTGGTGCAACCACTCTGGAAAGCAGTTTGAAGATTGGGTCAGAAAACGTGGAATAGAACCGTCATTTGATCCAGCTATCCCACCCTCAGTTAATACCCAAAAGACTGAAAATCAGCATACTACAGAGATGCAGACATACCAAGGTTTATAGCAGCTCAATTCATAATAGCTAAACGGTGGAATCAACCTAGATGCCCTTCAACAGATGAATGGATAAAGAAAATGTGGTATATATACACAATGGAATGTTACTCAGCCTCAAAGAAAAATGAAATTATGGCATTTGCAGGTAAATGAATAGAACTACAGAACATCATGTTAAGTGAAATAAGCCAATCCCAAAAAAATCAAAGGCCAAATGTTTTTTCTCATAAATGGATGCTTATTCATCGTGGAGAGGGGGTGGGTAAGAAAGAATGAAGGAACTTTGGATTGTGCAGAGAAGAGTGAGAGGAGGAGTGGGGCTGAGGGGATGGGAAGGACAATAGAATGAGACAGACATTATTACCCTACATATATGTATGATTGCACTACTGGTGTGACTATGCACCACATAAAGTCAGAGGAATGAGAAGTTGTGCTTCATTTGTGTACAATGTGTCAAAATGCAAAAAATGCAATGTGTCAAAATATATATGTGATATATATCTAAATAGGACAAATTAAAAAAAAAATAGAAGGGAGACCAGTAGAAAAGAAGAAGGGGATCAGGGGAAAAGAGGAGAGGGAAAGGGGAGCTAACTGGGGAGTAAAATTGAACAAATTATACTGTTTTATTGTATGCACATATGAATATAATAACAAATCCCACTGTTATGTATAATTATAACACATCAATAAAAAGGGGGGAAAATGCCAGCTTCCTCTACAAGACACATGAAAACAGGACCCTTGCCCATCTTGAGTATTAGAACCAGTTCCAGACATATAGATGGATGGATGGATACATGGAAAGAAAGAAGGGTGTAGGATGTGTGGCTAGAGCAAGACTTCAAAAGAAGGGGACAAGAAAGAAGGATAGTTTTAGCCTGAAGCCCCTACATTTTTTATTTTTCTTGCTAGAAATGAGAATCAAACCCAGAGCCTCATACATGTTAGGCAAGGGTTCTACCACTAATCTACACTCCTAGAGCAAGAATTTGGTCAACAAACAACAAGCTCCCTGTTCAGTGTTAGGAGTTCCAACAAAGGAGACCAACAGAGAGTGGCCTAAGGCTGGCCCAGTTCCTCTCACCAAGCCATCATCAGGCAAGGACCCCTCTGGCCACTACCATGGGCAGAACCCAAGTGGAAAGGGCTGGGAGCTCCAAATCAAGCTCCAGGAAGGACCCAAAGTTTAAGGATGTCACCTGAGCCCCATATGACCAGATCCTCCCACAAGCAATCCAACAAAATAACAGCCTTGAGCCGCCAGACTTTAAATCCTGCTTTGACACTTCACCACTGTGTGCCCTGGGCACTTTACAGAATCAGTTACTCTTTGAGAGGGGTTCATAATAAATCCTAGGGTTGTCACAAAAAATAAATGACCACATTTCAAGAGTGGTCAGAAAGGGCCTGGCATGCCACTCATTGTATCAGAGCCATACCCTTCGTTGTTGCCTGTAATAATCCCTTACAGCCAATTCCCCTCAAGCCCCCAGCCCATCAAGTCATACTAGACCCATGAGAGCTTTGTTCTCAGAGCTGAAGTGACATTCCATGCCCCTCCCACCCCACACCCAGGCTTTGCTGCCAGCTGGAGATCCAGAGGTCTCCAAGCTTCCTGGCCTCTCCCAGGCTCTGTTTCTTTACACACTTAGCTATTTATAGCCTCTGGCAATACTCCAAC